CATTTTTTTTTAATTTGAATAAAGGTTCGGATGTGAAAAGCATTTCAATTACAAAGAACCTCATTTTGTGTTCGACTCGCATTCAAAACAGCATGCTATTAAGAGAGTGCTTGGAATTCATGTATTTTTTTTTACCTGACCGTTAATCCCAGCAGAAGACCGCAAATGATCCCGTTTAAAAAAAGAAGTGGAATGGCTAAGATATACATTCAAACGGCTCATTTTTAAAAAGGCTTACGCTGAATGCTAAATTAAAGAATAAAGAACCAGAAAAAAAAAAGAAGAGTAAAAATTTTACTAAAATTAAACGTGTATGTTGTGACATAGTGGCACTTTGGATAAAACTAGTAAACGTACGTAAGGAAAGGATCAACTGAAAGCCGAAACCTGTACAGGTGACTCAAGATTGCCGCATTTAATAGGATCCTTACGAGGCTTACTCTGATATCTTCAAGGCTTTTTCACTAATCGATCATCACGCAAAGACACTACAAGCGTAAAATTAAACTAGCGTGCGCCTTAATTGGTGAAAACGACAGAGAACCTATCGCCAAAATCTGATTTCCGCTGAATTCCGTGCAAACCCTCGCGACATAAAATAATGCATTTTTTGTTCTTTCATAAAGTTTGTCAATTTATAGCTCTAATGAGTGTTGAGTTTAACGGGATCATTAGTGGTTTTAAAATATTTGTACTGCACATACGTATCTTTCGTGTAAAAAAAGTCGTCCCCACAGATGGGCCAGTACAGGTACCTGCACAGGTAACCCAAGATTACCGCATTTTAGAGAATCTTTACGAGGCTTGCTCTGATATCTTCAGGGCTTTTTCACTACTCGATCATCACGCAAAGACACTACAAGCGTAAAATTATATAAGCGTGCGCCCAAATTAATGAAAGCGACAGAGAACTCATTGCCAAAATCTAATATTCTTAGAATTCCGTACAAACCCTCGCGATATAAAGTAAAGTTGATAGCTTTAACGAGTGTTGAGTTTAACGGGATCATTAGTGGTTTTAAAATCTTTGCACTGCACATACGTATCTTTCGTGTGAAAAAAGTCGGGCCAACACAGGCGGTTAAGGAAACCTGCACAGGTAACCCAAATTGCCGTATTTAAGAGAATCTTTACGAAGCTAACTCTAATATCTTTAGGGTTTTGTACCTAATCAATCATCACGCAAAGACACTACAAGCGTAAAATTAAACTAGCACGAGCCTTAATTGGCGAAAACGACAGAGAACCCATCGCTAAAATCTAATTTCAGTATTCTGGGCAAACCCGCGCGACATAAATAATGCTTGCATTGTTCTTTCGTAAAGTTTGTCAATTGAAAGCTTTAATGAGTATTGAGTTTAACGGGATCATTAGCGGTTTTAAAATCTTTGTACTGCATATACGTATCTTTCGTTTGAAAAATGTCGTACAGGTAACCCAAGGTTGCCGCATTTTAGAGAATCTTTACGAGGCTTGCTCTGATACCTTCATGGCTTTTTCACTAATCCATCATCACGCAAAGACACTACTAGCGTAAAATCAAACCAGCGTGCGCCTAAATTATTGAAAACGACAGAGAACCCATCGCCAAAATCTAATTTCCGTTGACATAAAACATTTCTCGCGACATAAAATGATACATGTATTGTTCTTTCGTAAAGTTTGTCAGGTGATAGCCTTAATGAATGTTGAGTTTAACGGGATCATTAGCGGTTTTGAAATCTTTGCACTGCACATACGTATCTTTCGTGTGAAAAAAGTCGCCCCCACAGATGGGCCAACAGTAGTTCGCAAAAATATCTTCCATCTGTTTATATCTATAGTGTTTACTGTATAATGCAATAAGTTCATCAATTTCATCTTATATTTGAGATTAAAATGCTAAAAAAAACCGGCAGAAAGAGTAATTGGGGCGGAGAAGGGAAGCCAAAAAAAATTTGGTATATAATAAAACAGTGGACAGCGGTGAAGGCGCGCTCTGATTGGCTACTAAAACTCTCAATATCCTTTATTATTCATCAATAGCCACCTCCTTTAAAGTAAATAGTTGTTAAGTATCAACAGTAGTTTTTCAGAAACTTACCCCTTTTATTCATCACTGAATTTTTTTTATTAGTCCACTATCCGGCTGTTTCTATTGATTGACAGCACCCAACTCAAGAACGATGGTGTTAATTACTTGTAATCATGGCATTCATATATTTATCTTCCGAGAAATATTATTCTACACAGATGGGGCGATAACAAGCGGCTTAAGAAACAAGCGTAGGTGACCAAAAGATTGCCGTATTTATGACGATCTTCCCTTGGCTCGCTGTGATTTCTCGGAAGCTTCTCACTGATCGATCATCGAAGACCTGATAAGCGTAAAAGTCAACAAACAAGCCTCAAAATGGAACCAGACATCGGAGAAACAGCAAACAACAATTTCTCCACTGATAGGTCAGTGTTCTTTTGCTCGCAATATGAATTTTTTACTTGGGACTTAGAAAATACTACCTTCCCTTGGATCATTGTGGGAAGCATAATACTTCTCTCTCCCATTACAATTCTTATGAATCTGTTAGTGATCGTAACGGTTGCAAAACGGAGAGACCTGCAAAAATTGTCCAATA